TGCTGCTGACGGAGCTATTAGTCCTACCTTAGAAACATTTTTCCATTCCGTATTGCTCCCCTGTTGTTGGATGTACTGAGAAGATGCTATTTCTAATTTTGAATCAATATTTTTTAGGCGAAATGCTATGCAGCAATATAATTCAGTCCTTCTTTTTCATGTGAATTGATCATATTGTTTCTCAAATTAAGGTCAATATCCCAAGACATGGGAAAGAAGTTAGTTAAGTCATGCATTATATCTTAAATGTTGTCTAGAATATCATTATTTTCGGAAACTATGTTTTTTGTTGTGTACTTTTTAAACGCTTTTTCTAGTAATTCCGCAGTTAAATAACAACCTATTTCTGAATTTTTTTATTTCTATACATACTTTTACTTTTAACGAAAGATTAGATAGCTTATTTGCAATTAACAAGCGTTTAAGTTAGAGCCAGTAAGACCGAACGCTCCGTTCTTGAAATAAAAGTTCGAGCTTTGCGCCACCGTGACGTCACAGGCAAAAATCCGAGGTTTGGCGCGGCGAGTTTCTTCAAAGGAGTGAACCAGCCCTTCTATTCTCTTTAGCCCTGGGTCTAATCCATTTATCAAATAATAAACATTTAATTAAGGACATTAAACGAAATAACATTTTGATGGTAGCTAAAAACAATCTAATATATATAATTCTCTTACGTGGCTCCCAAATTTTGGCTGTATTTCTTTTCCGCCGGTGGCAACGTTTGCGTTGTTTCGTTTACGTTACTATTTCTCTTACACGACGAATCGACCAATGATTGCAGCTAATAATTTCACGTGCCAAATCCAGCTGAGGTGGCTCAACATATAGCGCTAGGCAGAAGAGAGTAGTCTTTGTCGATAGATCTCTATTTTAGTATTTCGTCTAAAGCGCTTTTTTCACGAATTTATATATTATGAATTTATTTGACGATTTTTGATTTATATCACGAATTATACTATAGCACATTTCTAATAGGTTTAACGAATTACTTGTCATTTATTTGAATTCAAATTTATTTTAATGACTTAGTAATTACTAAAAAGATAATTTTTTTAAAAAAAAAGTTTCTATATGGATTTGAATGATTGTTTTGAATTCTTAGAATTTTGTGCATTTGCAATGTACCTAAGTTAATATCGAGCGAAGCGAGCTTGGTTTGCGAAGCAAAACATATAAGATTGCGTACCAATTTTCGGGGGTTGGCGAGCGTTAGCGAGCAATGGGCGCAGCCCACTTGTTTAGTATATTTTACTTATTATGATCTCTGATTACATGCATTAACTGAATTATTTTGTTAGCAATTTGAAATCGAAGATAACAAATCTACATAGCGCTAATCAAATTGAAAATCGCTACAGCCAAAACCCGAATTAGATCATATATCAACAAATTGAAATCGGAACTAAACAAACTTTAATCAAAATATGGGTCAAGAATTCCTTAGCAAATTTTGAGAGCTTTAATAAATGCATGGAATTCGAAGGACAATTCCGATAAAATGTATAAAAACAAAGTTATTAGCGGTTTAAAATGGAAATGACGATGCATTACTCTCACTTTTAAGAAAACTGGAAATAATGATTTCAATTATAATTTTCTAGATTTGAAACTATTAAATAAATTTATTTTACTCTAAATTATTGCACTAAATTTAAGACAGTTTGCATGATGAGGACGCATTTTTTAATTCTAATAGTGATCTATAAATTTTTGTAGTTTAGTGCCATTTAATTATTAGCTCGTAGGTGTGACTAAAGAATACCAGTCAGTAACTACTAATATGTTGTAATTAAATATTAAAATTTGATTAATTCTATTTACTTGATTAATTTCTATTTACTTGATTTACTAATTAATTCTGCATTTTTTTCTTCTTTTTTTTTGAATTATATATTATGTTAAAAGGGATATGAAGTCGTCTCTCAGAATTTAATCTTTTTACGTTTTACAACATGCTCTTTTAAAGCTATTTTCTCGAATTCAATAAAATCTCTCTTCGAACCTTTATCCATTTTTAATTTATTTTATTTATTGCTAGTAGAACACCGCGCATCTCGGATAAAAAAGATGGTCGAGGTAAATAAGTGTTATAAATGGTATATAACATTTGAAAATAAATTCTTATATTGTATTGCTATTTAGAATCAATTTTAGAGAGTAAAACGATGTGGAACCTTTCAAGCCTTGCTAAAAAATTATTCTGCTTAATTGGCACTAGCATTATCAAAGTTTATAATTATTATATACTTTTTTAGCCTTACTACAAACTATCCTGGTTAATCGGCACTTACAGTAGTAAATTAGAGATTATTATATACTATTTTTAGCCTTGTTACAAATTATACTGGATAATTCGAACTTGCAATAGTAAGTTTATGATTATTATATACTTTTTTTTGCCTTGTTACAAACTATCCTGGTTAATCGGCACTTACAATAGTAAATTAATGATTATTATATACTATTTTTAGCCTTGTTACAAATTATCCTGGACAATTCGAACTTACAACAGTAAGTTTATGATTATTATATACTTTTTTTTGCCTTGTTACAAACTATCCTGATTAATCGGCACTTGCAATAGTAAATTAATGATTATTATATACTATTTTTAGCCTTGTTACAAATTATCCTGGACAATTCGAACTTACAACAGAAGTTTATGATTATTATATACTTTTTTTTGCCTTGTTACAAACTATCCTGGTTAATCGGCACTTGCAATAGTAAATTAATGATTATTATATACTATTTTTAGCCTTGTTACAAATTATCCTGGACAATTCGAACTTACAATAGTAAGTTTATGATTATTATATACTTTTTTTTGCCTTGCTACAAATTTTCTCACTCAACTGGCACTTAGTACATGCAATTTTATTTACTTATTCATTTATTTATTTGTTTGCTTTTCTAGCATTAATTGCTCTTGCCATTTTTTTCCATCCAATTCTTTCCGGTGATTTGACACTTATACCGTAATTTTCTGTATTTTTATTTTCGTAAGCATCACTTTTTAGTCTTGATACATTCTACCACATTTGATTGACACATATTTCACAATTTCTGTTTACTTGATTTTTTTATAAGTTTTCTTGGTGACGTGACTTAAAATAATGAAATTTCACAAAACACGTTTTGAAAGGCCTGTTATTGTTAAAAAATATCGCAGTTGCACAAAACTTTAAAATAAACTAAATTAATAGTTATTGGTTAAAAAATTTATGCGTCTGTTAATTTTGAGCGATAATGCGCGCTTATTTAGCAAAAATGGCAGATTTCGCATTATAATTTTCAATTTTCTTGTTACATTTTTTAAAAATGATCGAGAAATTGCAGCATTAATTTTCTGTTAGGAATTTCTAGAAGACAGCCGACCAGGTGGCCGAGGCCACTTAGCCATAGGTGCTCACTGGGTAACGATAAGAGAGTAGCAATTCTGGCATTTTTGAGATCAATGGGAAATAGACCCAAGTGCCCGCCAATAACCAAAAAATAAATTTCTGGAAGACAAAAATCAAAGCAGAACACTTCATTTCGTAGAGTTGCGAGTGTTATCTTTTAAACATATCACACCTCTGAAGAATTACTTGAAGAATAATCTGAAGAAGAACACATTTATTGACTAACAGTAGTTCTTTACTCGAAAAGAATTGCAAATGAAGCAACAACAAAAAAATTATAAATAAAATATTTTCATATTGACTTTAGGAATAGATTCATACAGAATTTTTTTAATATATATAATTACACTTCAGAATAAAATTTAACAATATATTTTTACTAAAGCTTAGAATTCAATGGAAATCCTAATTGCACGTGACTAATTGTCAATTTTTCCAACACCTAACTCGCGTGATAACTCTTAGCTCGCGTGATGACTCTACTAGTATGTGGGGAAGAAAAGGAGAAAAATATTTGCCCGCTACGCTTTCTAACACATGGAAAATAACGCAACAAGCAAAATGTGAATCCAGAAAATCTAAAAATAATTATTAAATTTATGATTATTTTAAAAGTTGCATGCCTATGCAAAATCAGCTTGTTTCTTCTTTCACTTAAACTAATTTACGAAACGCAATTCTTCATAGATACGTTTACCGCAATATTCCTGTGTTTTTACAGCTATTCCAATATTTTTATTTTATTTTATAACCGTCTTTGAAGAACCAACCCAAGTTTTGAATTTACAACTAATGTGCAACAACTCCATAGCCTTGTAATTTCGAACTCAATCCAGAAGACAAAGCATCCAATATGAGGAGAAATTTGCCTTCGTGGAGGACTTTTTGATGGAACTAATCCGCATTTATGTTACATAAAAACTTCCCAGGGTTAGCCTGACGTCAAGGGGAGTCTAACCCATGATCAGTCTATTCCCTAGAATATTTTACGTTAGCACTGAGGTCGATGCGAGCCTGATATATAATTCGTATCGACCAACCATTGTTGGGATTTCAACTCCGTCACCACATTGGGTGGCGATCATTTTATCCCCTGAGCCACCATGGTTCATACTGCTAATATTCCAATAGCCTTTGTTATTCCAATGCAATTACCGTTACAAGAAGAAAACCAAGAAGGACAAGCAATTATTGCTGAAGGTTAAGGTTTGTCACTTAAAATTTATACCATAAAAAATTGTTATGATTGTCATAATGGCTGTCAGATTTGAATTAAGTAGCTATCTGATATTTAAAAGCATTGACGCTCAGTTAGGTAACAAAAACTGACAAGCAATAATGATTTCAATAAGTAACTAAAAATTTAGAGGGTTCAAAATTTTCCTCGTAACAGGTAAGTTGCCAAATAAGCTGTCGAATATCAGTTTTGAAATTGTTATTAAACCTGAAAACGAAGATCTGTGGATACCACTAATCAGTAGGGGGAACAATCGGTGAAGAAAAAAAAAAGGGAAATGAAACAATTATACAATTTTTGATCGTCATTACCCTACGTCAAAACAACATGTTATGAACCGGTTGTGGATCAAATATTCCCCACAAGGTCGTTAAGTGGCCACAGATATCATTATAATAAACGAGTGAAGGTTTCTTAGAAATTGAAATTTTCGTTCATTTTAGTTTTGCAATGGATAGTGGAGTAGGTTCGCGTACATAATCTTTAATTGAAATAATTTACCTGTTTTTTTTCTCATCTGGAATCTTCATCCTCAATTATTTCGAGAGGGGATGTAATCAGCACCTCATTTTTATACAATATAAATTTGTGTGTTCAGTTTTTGGTGTAACAGATTAATTCGGAAAATTAGCAGGTAAGATATGTTTGCAGATACTATTTGAAATGTTTTACTTTAGATATAATTTGTGATTTTTATATCTAATACACGATGTAGGAAATTTGAGCTAAAACTATGAAGTAACATTATAGTTTGAAAATTAGTCATTTTTTTTTATAAATGAAAATATTATATCATTAATAATAATGTAAGCATTACGTTATTTATTAAAAATATATTAGTCGGAAATATCCACCAAGGGATCCAGAAAGAACAGGGGACAATCATAACCCTATTATTTAACTATTGAACAAATGATAATCTAATGTATGCTGATATGATAATGTATCATGATCCATTTTTGATATCATGATATCCGTTTTTACATATCATGATATGATAATGTAAGACGAAATGATAATGTATGACAAATGTACACTTTTCAAATAGTATGCCTGCAGATACTATTTGAAAAGTTTTACTTCAGATATAATTTGTGATTTTTTATTTAAAAGCCAATGTATGAAAATTCTAAAACTATAAAGTAACATTATAGTTTAAAAATTACTCAGCATTTATTTTATGAATAAAAATATTATATCGTTAATAATAATATTAGCATTACGTTATTTATTAAAAATAAATTAGTCGGAAATATCTACCAAGGGATCCAGGAGGAACAGGAGACATTCATAACCCTATTACTTAACTATTGAACAAATGATAATGTAATGTATGCTGATATGATAATGTATTATTATCCGTTTTTTATATCATGATATCCGTTTCCACATATTATGATATGATAATGTAAGATGATATGATAATGTATGACAAATGTAAATGATAATGTATGTAATAATAATGAACAAATGATAAATGATTAACAAATGTTTAAAAAAGAATCAGAAACAATTATTCCTAACAATGAAATAAAAATTTTAAATTAAAGAATTAAATTAATTTTAAAAATATTAAAAACTGAAAAAATTTGCTGAAAAATTTCAAAAATTTTATTAAGATATTTCATTGAAAAAAATTTTTCTTAATCTTTTAAAAGTTCTTAAAAGTTAAATCTCTTATTAATTATTCAATCGACATCGCTCAAATTTTGCATTTTGCCATATAAAAATACATTCTTTAAAATTATGCAAAAAATTGTATACCTTACAATTCAAAATTTCTTGACCATTCTTAAATTTAAAAAAAAATATTGAGCAAAAGATATTTTTTGCATGAAATTATCGTTGGATAAATGAATTTTATAATTGTGTGCAAAAAATTTTCGATTCGCTAAAAAGCTCGTGAAATATAGCGAAATACGCAAAAAGTAAATTTAATGTTCAGTGTCTCAAACTTAGACCTGGCCAAAGTAATGGGACCATATTTCCCAGATTGCTGCTACCCCCTTTATTTTGGGCGTCTGAAATCCGAATCCATTGGGAAAAAAAGGTATTTATTCAGAGACAGTACATTTTTTATCTGATTTCGTAACTTAAAATATCGTCTGCACATTTGAGCTCATTCCCTTGAAACATTAATTAGATTGAGTTCTAGAACGTGAAAATCCGATCATAAGATCAAAAATTATTCAAGATAATCCGTTTTATATTTATTTATTTATTTACTTACTTACTTACTTATTTGTTTATTTATTTTGCGTACTGTACGTTAATTTTTATTACGGTCTGAAATTTTCGTTTAAAAGTTTTTATAGTATTTGAATCAGTTGTTCACTAATAATCAGACTCAAAATACCTCCTGTTAGATTTTTATTGCCTTTTACTTCTTTATTACTTATTCGCCTAAATGCATTTATATTAAATGGAAAAGCGAAACATCTGAAAATGTATGCGAATAAATGAAAAATTTGGTCTTATGTATATACGTATTTAAGAAATTTAGTTACTATATTGATTTTCACTGTTCGCATTTATAATTTTAGTAATGAATGGGCAAACATTTTATTTTTAAAAAAAATGCCAATTTATTTTAATTTTAAATAAGAAGTACTTGATAAGCGAGAATAACAAAGATCAATAGATTCGTTGATAATGTTAAATTTAGGATGGTATGTTAAAAAATAAGAATGTACTCAATATAATTTGCTCAAATATAATTTTATCTGTCTACAAAGCAATTTAAAGATACATTAAAAAATTTATAATTAAGACTCTTGTTTTCAGTTATTTGTTGCTTTTTATATTTATACACGTGTGTAAATAAGTTGCTACATGTATAAATATCTATAAATACGTTGCTTTTTACATTTATACAATCCAGCTTTCAAAGTGCATTTAATTAAAAGAAATCTACTCGTAATTTCAGATATAAAATGAATCACAGGTATAACTTGAAAAACAAACATATCTACTAAGTTCGAATACTGCCCTGCAAATGCTGTACCAGCTGCTGAAAAGATGTAATATTTTTTTAAGCTAATGAACTAATTACATTTTGATAAAACTGCTAAATGTATCCCTAAATACAAAAATATTCTGTACTCGCACAAAAGTAATAATATATAAAAAAACAACCTGACGATATACCTAACCCAGAAGACAAAGCCATTCATCAAGCATTGAGACAAACTAGGATCATCAAACTCCATAGAAGGAAACCACCAAAACCTCCCACAATGATCAGACGGCAAGAGGATTCGTAATTCATGATCCTCCTGCCACTGAGGATATTTTACATCAGCGCTGTGATCGGTGCTAGCCGGATGCGGAATTCGTATCGACCAATCATTACTGGGATTCGAGCCCGGTTCAAATCGTTGAAAGGCGAACGCTTTATCTTCTGAGCCATTGCGGCTCGACAAGTTTAATATAGTCCCGATTCGAACCATATCATTTAAAACCTGATAAAATTATACAAAGTGATAAGAGCCGTGGTAGCTCAGGTGATAAAGCGTTCACATCCTAATGAGGCAGCCTGTTTTAAATCCCAGCGGTGACTAGTTGATGCAAATTCTGCTTTCGGATCGCACCGACCACAGTGCTGACCTGAAATATCCTCAGTGGCAGGAGGATCATGGATTACGAATCCTCTTGCCTTCAGATCATTGTGGGAGGTTTTGGTGGTTTCCCTCCATGCAGTTAGAAGATCCTAGTTTGTCCCAATGCTTGATAAATGCCCTTGTCTTCTGGATTGGGTTCAAAATTACAAGGCTGTGGAGTTGAACGTTGGTAGTCGTAAACACAGAATTGGACCGGTAGTCCAACGCCGATTATAAATACTAAATGAATAAAGCACATAGTGTGACACAAAAATAGGCAATACTATAGTTTCGATTATATAATCAAAAACCATCATCAGTGTCGAAAAACAGATGTAAAAGGCTCATTTTTCCTTCTTTGTTAAATTTTGATTATGAATCGAAACTAAAGGTTTTCTGTTTTTGTGGCATTTTGTTTTTTAAGTCGCCCATTATTCTTATGCAGCTTAAAGTATAACTCTTCTTCATTTGAACGCTATACTATTTTTCAAAACGAACCAGAATACGGTTCAATTTAACTACTTATTAAAGTTACAGTTAATTCTAACGATATTAGGATACATATTGTTTTAATATTGAACCAATCTTTTGAAAGTGTAGTTAAGTTTTTTGTCATAAAGAACAAATTTATATAATAAGAAAATTATTAGTTTTATCACTTAGCAAAATTATTCATTATATTGTAGTAAGTTTATTGCATCTCTAAAAGTAAAACTTCTTGCGAAGTTAAGCATAAATTTAGAATATTACAGTTTAACAGAATTTACTGGGAAAAAAAGTTTATTGGACTTTTGTAATTTGTTTTATTTTTTATTGAAATGAATACAGCATATTGATAATCTCACGCAGATCTTTCGCTATCATAATATCTTTAAAGTTTCGTTTTAAAAAAATCGAACTTTTACCTTTAAAATTATGTTATTTAAAGTGAAATCCGCTTTCTCAATATTTTATTAAAAAAATACCATTAAATTAAAAATTAAAATTAATTTTTAAAGATTAATGAGCTTTAAAACATTATGCTGTAAAGCATTGTTTTCTGTGTTTCGTTTACACGGTGGAACTCAATAAGCTAAGTCATTGTTCTTTTCACGTTAAAGGAAACGCAAACGATTCCGTGCCACAAACCCATTGTAAAACGCATCATTTGAAATAAATCAGCTCATTATGTAATTTTTCTTTCGGCTACTTATCTGCGTAACTAAAGCATAACGGATTTTTTTCTCACTGCCTAGTCTATTGTGCTGTTTCTAGAGCTTCAATTCATTTGATGTCGAGGAAGGATGACTTATTTGTGGATATACCGAGATGAAGAAGACATAACGTTTGCAAACATTCTTTAAAACTGTTGATTCTTTCAAAATATTATTTTTGAAATATTTTACTAAAGAACATATTATGTATATACGGTTTTGAGTCATTTAACGCGTGTCTTTTAAGCTACAAAACAATGAATAATAGATCCGCATAGAAACGTATCAAAGTAATGTTTTTGTAAAAAAAAAAATGGTTTGCTAAAACATATTAACCAATACTTATAACATTAATTGCAATTAGCGTCTGCGGTAATCGATTTATTCATAATGGCAGTGCAGATTAAGAAGTCAAATACAACTTTCGTGAAATGTTGCACTAGCTATCATAAGTGCAGAAATCCTTTACAGATAGAGTGGTTATTAGGTAAGCTTGTTTATATGATTCATTTATTGTAATATGTTCATATATGTTCCATGTTTGCATGTAGTTACACATATGTTTGCATGCAGTTAACATATGTGTAAAGTTAGGGTCCTTCCCTCAACATTAGAATGGCAGTTTTCCTCTCAAAATAGAAATTTAATTAATTTTCAGTTACTATTATGCATTTTGAATTATAATTATGCATATTTTAAACCCACTAACAATTTGAGAATTTAGCTGGAAGCTCAACTTAAATACTTTATGTTTAAATTATTAATTATTAGTTGACATTCCGTTATCACAATTACTTTATTTGTTTAATTTTTAATTAAACGTTCTATTTATCTCATTCTAA